CCCTCCACTCTCTCACTCCTCACCTCCTAATCCCCCTCCACTCTCTCACCCCTCACCTCCTAATCCCCCTCCACTCTCTCACTCCTCACCTCCTAATCCCCCTCCACTCTCTCACCCCTCACCTCCTAATCCCCCTCCACTCTCTCACTCCTCACCTCCTAATCCCCCTCCACTCTCTCTCTCTCTCTCCCTGCAGCCTTTCTACTGCTACTCCTTGGCTCCTTCTTATTGCTGTTTTTCAGCCAAAGCCCTAATCTTATGGTAGATAAGATCTAACACTTGACCTTCTCGGATAAGGACGAAAAATCTAGAAGATCCCGTGTGCAAGTTGAGTACGTTAAAGATCCCTTTGTGGTAAAACAAATCTACTAGTGGGCCACACGGGCAAAATGAAAAATTTTCTACAACCTGAAAACGTTTAATTTTTGTCTTGCGCGCTCATAATATGACCTTATGCAGTTGCGAGTGCCGTAAAACACTTACAAAGAAAACCCATCAGCAACAAAAATACACACAGACACATACATTCACTCACAGACATAATTAAATATGCACGACCCCCATCCCTTTCTCGTCTCTCTCTTTCTCTCCCTCCCTCTCCATCTCTCTCTCTCTCTCTCTCTCTCTCTCTCTCTCTCTCTCTCTCGCTCGCTCACATACACACAAACACACACACTCTTCGCTCGAACTCTGCTCTCAGTCAGGCGCCATCGTCTTCCAGATGACCAAACCTGTATCTGTTAGTGTTATATTATAGCATTATGGTACAATGTACTATCACTGAACACATCTGTTTTTGTTTTTGTTTTAGAAAGAGTTTAACGGCACTTGCAACACAAAACGGTCATGTAAGTGCCGAAGATTAGGGGTGTTTCAAGAGAGTAGCAAATCCCCCCCCCTTGGGAATTGCCTAAAGACACTTCAGACAGTGGCACCGCCCTGGGGGTTTGAGCATCCCCAAGAAAAAAAAGAAAGAAAGAAAGAAAGAGAGAGAGATAATGACGATAGATGTTTGATAGGAAAAAAAGAAGGCGCAAACCACACCAGAGCACCCACTGAACGCATCCCCAACCAAATCCGTTTGACCTAAAAAGAAATGATGGATGGACGACAACACGGGACTGGTTCGTAATGGATCAATGTGGCCCTCTTTATATGTACTGTATATTATTGTTATACATTATTACATATCAACAACATTTCAACGCGAGTCTATGGCCGTCTGACCGGCGTCGGTGGTGTAGAGGTAAGGCGCGTTGGCTGTCAAACGTAGGAGACCCGAGATCGATTCCCGAGTGGGGAGAAAATTTTTATCGAGTATCTCGGTTGTTCTGCTTGATTGTTGAATCCCTCTCAGCCCGGATTGGTCCTGACAGGCAGTGTC